TCAGTTTCTATGCAAGTTGACCAATACTGACATAATCTAATAGAAATATATCGTAACTTTCATGTAAATAATTCACAATGCCATCTATACGTGAATAATGAAAACTTTAGCATACTCCTAATATAAGAGAAAAAGAGATTTAATAAAGTAGAGAGCGCAAAAAAATTAAGAAACTTAACTACCCAGTCTATAATTTAAAATAAAGTATATAATTGTTATTTTATACGAGACATATAGTTCATAAAATGTTTATGAACAAAATAATTATCAATCGTAGGATGGTTTCAAATAGTCAATAAAACAGTCAATAAAAAGAGAACTCAATAAAAATGAAGATTTTATTTGCACGATAATAATAACTATATATATTAATAAATATTTATATTATACATATAAATATAATTATAATAATTATGTCCGGATATTGGATTCACAGAAAGTTTAGGCAATCGGGACAATTCTTCGCGTATTGATTCATTCGTGCTCTTTAAAATTTTAATTATTTTTGAATTAATATTTTGGAACTTTCTATATCTTTCATTTCTTAATAATAAATTTTAATATTTCAGCCTTCAATTAATTTAATATATTTATATCATTTCTTAATATATTTATATCATTAAATTTCATGTGCCTCTGTAAAATTAAGCAATCATAGCATTGCGCCGTTAATTGTCCGGCTATTGGGAGACATTTACTTTACTTTCTCCCTCGGAGTTTTTAATTTCTACAGAATATTCTAAATGTAAGGAAATCGATGACACGAAAATTCCATATTCGATTATTTACAACGTTCTCCTTGGCGACAGAAATTCGCACCTCGTTGTATGTTTAAATACGTTTCCGATACGTATGTAATCATTGTCAACAATTCGCGAGACGCGCAGAGAAACGTGCAAATTTCTTCGCAGTACTCACCAAACAATCGTTAAGTATACATCTTATATTATGCTTGACGAGTCTTATTGTTTACGCTGAGATAACACGTTCCACGAGCATTGTTTCCAAATGGACATTACGAATAAAGTACCCATTATCGTGAATTAACGAAAAATATCTACATGGCTTCGTTGATGCTGTACTACGGACCGCGTATACCTGAACATTATAATAAGTTCTTCCATCCGAACGTTTGTCACGTCTGTAAAATGACGAAGGACGACAAATTGATATCATGCCCTGAGTGCAACATGATCTTCTACTGCAGCAAGGAGCACAAACAGCTTGATAAACCACATCATGCGGAAATGTGTGCTGCTATTCAAGAACTTTCAATAATGGAACATCTAGACATTATACGCCAATTAAGCACGGACGAACAGAGAAAATCGAGGAGAAGAATTATCCCTATGTTGCAGCGGGCACTAAAACGTGAATTAGAGCCGTATGAAATGGAGATGGTCATGTTTACGAGAACATGTTTCATTTGCCATGAAAGCGCGGACCTACAAACTTGCACGAAATGTTATTCGGTCAACTATTGCGTTAATCACGCAGGAAATTTTCGAGAGTGGCACGACTCACAAGCAGCTTGCAAGCATCTCTTGACAAATCTCAATCTGGATATCCTTTGTTTGCATAATGTAGCTATGTTGAAATTCTGCACATTTCCCGATAAGAATAGATCTCTTGACGATATGGCTATGTTTATCAGACGGTACATGCCAAAAGAAATGAAGCAGCAACATAAATGGCCTCTATATAATTATTTATACAGCGATTTTATATCACAGCCGTTGACTTTATACTACGGGATGCGGAATGTAAATTTGTTATCTGTTTTTAACATGCAAATTCCTACTTGTGTGGTTCATATAATAGCGGCGGATTCCTTGGATATGGAATATTTACCTGCCTGGGAGCTTTTATTGCATCTTAATTATAAGATAAAACATCTAGAAATTGTGCTGATAGGAACGCGGTTACAAACCGAATCGGACAATATTAACGTTTGCTCGTTTTGCAATTCGCGCAAGCAATTGGTTAGTTTTGAATCTCATTGCACGTTGTACGAGATTTACAAGAACAGAGCAGAGTACAAACGACCGAATGTAATTGTAGGATTCCAAACGGATTTCGTCGGTGGGGAGATATGGCCGGAATGTATGTCAGCAATGCGCGAACAAAATTGTCCGTTGCTTTTTACCGCAATATCGCAAGTTAAAGCGCAGTCGAATATAAATAAGATACAAGCCGTTCTGGGCGTACATTTGACACCTTTATTTAACGAAAAAAATAAATTTGCTTCATGTAGACCACGTAAAGACCTTGAGTTTAAGCATATAATATTTCGTAATGAATATTTAACTATATTCCGGAATTTATGTGATTGACTGTTGCCTCTCTGATTTATTCGACGTTGTTGTATGCAATTATTGTGTGTCACTTTTAACAGAATATATAGTTCGTTTGATAAGAGTGTGTCTGGCGTAATTCGAAAACAATTTATTGTAATGACTTGGATAAATATACACATACTACTTAACTAGAACTGTGATGCCTTATTATTAATAATTTTTCCAGTCGCCTCCATTATCAATAATTGCACGGCATCTTTCTATTAATTCTATGGCATGTTCTTGAGGTAAAGACCTCCGAAAAATCAAATAAGCTTGAACTAACTTTTTGACCTTCTAATTTTTCTCCCCACGAAACTTAAGCTTCATCAATGCTCAAATGTTTTCGATAGAATTTATATCCGGTGTCTGTGACGACTAGTCCAATATATCATTCTATAGAAGAATGATTCCGATGCTTTAGGTCATTGTCCTCTTGTAGTAGTCATTTTTCATTTTACTTCTTAAACCACTTTTAACTAGACGGTAATAAAGTCCTTTCGTAAATCTCGACCATTCTAGCAGCGTCCAAATTATTCGTGAAGATGCAAAGGTAAAAAAACAGTATTAAACAGTATTAACGATATTAACAGTATTTTATTTTTTTAACCATACTGCTAACTTCCGTTGAAATTTCCCGTTTAACAGTTTCCATGTAAAAATTTTGCTGGACAAGCTCTTATCAAACAGATTGTATATAAGAAATATATACTTTATTTATGAATAAAAATTATGAATATCTTTCTTTATTAAAGTGTTTAATTGTTGCCACATTATTTCTCGATTGTAATAATACCTATAAAAACGAAGAAATTCTCCAAGTGCATAAAAGTCTTTTGTAAAAGAAGGAGCAATATTTCGATGAAATTAACAATTTGTATACAGGCAGTATATGAGGCATTTAAATCATGCTATCTCAATAACTATGAAAATATGTTAGATAGAAAAAAATGTTAAATACACAAGCTGTTTTAAGTGACGCATTATATAGCAATATTAATATGACCATGAACAGCAAAGTTACGGGAACGCCTTGAATTTTTTAAATTGAGTCTATTTTTATTGTATCATCTTTTTTCTATCAATTTGAACAACATTAGTCTGAAAAGTTTTTTTATTTGCCTAATATTTTTTGAGATATTTAAGGAAAACTTGGTAGCTTTCAATATTTGGCTTAAGATATCTCGATAACTATTTGTCGGAAGAAAAAGTAGTACTATACTTTTTTATTCTATTTAATCACAAGAATATACCGTTTAATAGTAGCTTAATAATAAGCTTAACTTTTGTTAATTTGATTTTGAAATTTTCAAAGGTTTTATTGTAACAACATATTCTTGAGGCCAAATAAAATAAAACAGTTTAATAGCATTTTTCCTTCCGACAACTAGTTATCAAGATATCGTAAGTCAAATGAAAAAGTTACCAAATTTTCTTAAATATCTCAAAAAATATTAAATGAATAAAAAATGCAAATAAAGAAATGTTTCAGACAAAAGTTGTCCAAATTAATTGGTAGAAAAAAATGTTATAATATAAGATAGGGGTTTTCATTTAAAAAATTCAAGGTGAGCTTCTTGTAACCTTGATGACTCTGTCCAACGTCATATTAATATTGCTATGTAATGCATCTCTCTCTCTCTCTCTCTCTCTCTCTCTCTCTCTCTCTTTTATTTAAAATCCTACAACTTTTGTATTTAATATTTTTTTCTATTTTACATATTTCTAAAGTTATTCAGATGGTCTGTTTTAGATGCTTCACCCTATATATACTTTTAAATTTAAACTGTTTACAAAAAGAATAAAGAACTACTTAGATTGTTAGGATCTACATTGAAACATATATTTGTTAACGTACTTTGCATATATTTGCGGTTTAAAAATTGTGGCATTATGATTTTCAGATAATTATCCCATTTTTTGAATTTCAATACATTTTTTTTCGGAAGCAATACATGTTGATCAAAGAAAAGTTTTTTAACGTGTAGTCGCAATGGAACAATCGTTATTTAAATATGGATTAGTAGATTCAACCAATGAAAGAATATTTGCGGTTAATCAAGCTGGTTCTGCGTTATGCATGACCTGGTTTCGTACGAGGTTTGAATGATCATGCTGAAAAATCGTGTCATGAATAGGCTGATCTACATACATTTGCCCAAAATATTATTCCACTAATTTAACGTTATTAAATTTTTTAATGTTATTTAATGTTAATTATGTAGAAGAATCCGTTATGACTCCAGTTGGCAACTACTATTATATGTCTAAAAACCTAGATAATGCACTTTGTATTTCTTCCATTTATACTAAATTTCGCAACGTTTTTTGATATATGAAGTTTTTTTTTATTATCCTAATTCTACTACAGTCTATCTCTGTGAGAGACACTCAGCAGTAAGTGTAACAGACAAATAAAGAGATAAAGTAAAATAAAGACAGGAGAATAAGGAGCAGCGAGGCTCGGAGGAAAGATATCCAGGGACACATTCTTATAATTTATGCAAGAAGATTTGATTGAATCCTGTGATATCTACCTCTTCAATCCATGCATTATCTTGACTTGATGTGAAGATATTTGTTTTTGACGTATTGATACAATTGTTAAATAACATTGCTTTTATTAACGCACATACATCTCGGTTTTTCCCGATGTGATTGTAGGTAACATATGTATCGTTGGGACTGGAGCCATGTTAGCATGGACGAGCCCGATTCTACCTTTATTAGAAAAAGACGGTGGACCCTTGGGTGCGCCGATCAGTGAAGATGAGAGCTCTTGGATAGGATCTTTGGTGCCTTTTGGAGCGATCTTTGGCAGCTTCATCGCGGGATATCTTGGCGAGAAGTACATTTTTGCATATTTATGTCGACGGTATAATTATATCGACGTCTTAATTTTGCGATTCCTTTAAGCGCTTTTCCATGCTAAAAGATCAACTCAGAGACTCTTGACTGGAGAGTGTCGGTATTCTCGCAGAGATGAAATTCACATTTTTTAAATATTTTTAAATATAGATTAAAAAATTATTATACATTGTTGAGGTTCTCAGATATTCACTGAAAACTAATTTAAGTCAATAAGAGCCGCAAGGATGTCGATAGCAAATAATTTTTATTTTTTTATTTTTTTCATTATAGGAATATATAATATATAATAATGTCGATAACAAATTGCACTGAGATTTTCCTTAGTTTTTTAATGTACGTAGAGCAATTAGCCGCCATTTTATTGTCTAACCGATCTTACAATCTATTAACATCTTTTTACATTTCTCGCTCGTTTTTCAATTATATATATGTAACACTGATCAATATGTGACACTGATCTTTTATTTTATTTTTTAGATATCATTGCAAAATAACGGAAACTGATCTCTCTTTGTCGTCAACATTTTTTTTCAGGTGGGGTCGCAAACGAACCTTGCTACTCTCGACATTACCGTTTTTGATCGGATGGATACTAATCGGTACTGCAACTCATTTCGCGCAACTCTGCGTGGCTCGATTAATATTTGGAATAACTCTAGCTATCCCATTCACGGTCCTTCCTATGTACGTCGGTGAGATCGCCGAGGTAAATTCGTTTTGCACATTATGTTTATATGTGCGATTAGACTTATGCAGGACTTTTATTTGTCATATTTTCGCTCTTGAAAAAACAGTAATTAATATTAAGCTATTAAATAGTTTGTATACATGCTTGTCAATAGCATTTTGTTCCTGATATTTCCATCACTAGATTATCAAAAGATCCATCTTAATATCCGAGAATAATATTTTTACTAGAAATCTTTTTTTATGAATATATTGGGAGCTCCATTTTAAATGAGCCAGATAAAAATATCGAAAAATATGAAAGATACTAAAAAACGCTTTAGACAAAAGTTGTATGGTTTCAAAGGGGACATAAAACAACTACATCATTTTGTTTACGGATGGCGCCACTTTCGAAATATTCACTGATCATTACTTTTCTTAAATAATCTTAAATAATAAAGAAATCTCAATTTTTTATTATATCATCTTTTTCAACCAATTAATTTTAACAACTTTCGTTTGAAATATTTTTCTATTTGTTTAATATTTTTTGAGATATTTCTATAATAATCTAGTACTATATTTTTTTCTGACAAATAATTAGCGAGATATTGTAAGTTAAATATTGAAAAAATTATCAAGTTTTCCTTAAGTATCTCAAAAAAATATTAGGCAGATAAAAAATATTTCAGACAAAAGTTGTTAAAATTAATAAAAAATGGTAAAAAATGTTTTAGACGAAAGTTGTCAAAATTAATCGGTAGAAAAAGATGATATAATGAAAAATCTGGATTTCCATTTAAGAAAAATAATGATTAGCAAATATCTCAAAAGTATCGTCATCTGTAAACAAAATAATAGTTGTTTTATGTCTTGAAATTACATAATTTTTGTCTGAAATATTTTTGTTCTAAAATGCTTAGTTCTCGAGATATTTCACCGTCCCAGTACTTTTTATACATTCTATATAGTATTTTTTATTAGAGACTTTTTTTTATTGGACAAACTGTTTTTACTAGAAATTGGAATATTATTTCAACAGCCTTTCTGCAACTGTTTATTAACAACTACTGATGATTGCTCATCCTTGTAGACTTCCATCAGAGGCGCGCTGGGCTCCTTTCTTCAGCTCTTCATCACCATTGGCATGTTCTATTCTTACGCTATCGGGCCCTACGTCAGTTACACGGTATTTTGGATCCTTTGTGCCATTTTACCCATACTCTTCTTCGTCTGCTTCATAATGATGCCGGAGTCTCCATATTACCTCCTCAGCAAAGGTCGCAAGGACGAAGCGATCGTATCTTTGGCAAAGCTCCGAAGCAAGTCCGAAGCGGCTGTCCAGAAAGAGGCTGACGAAATTCAGGTAAGCATATTGTAATTTTGTATCGAATTTTCCATTTGCGGAGCAATAAAGATAACACGAAGAATCGAGTGTCGGCAGCATCGAAAATAAAAAAAACGCAGATTAACGGTTTTAAAACGCGGAAAGGAATGGCTAATAAAAGCTTTATCGCAGTTGTCAACACATTCAATTTATATAATAAAATAATAATAATAATTTATATATAAAATAAAATGCCTGAAGTAAGAAAATGAAGAATTAAAAAAATTAGAGAAATATCCGAATTGCGATGAAACATGAAGCGAAGTCGCACACGAGCACGAATCGCATATGAGCAGCATCCTTAAGCTGAAAATATGAAAACTCGAAAGAGTCGACTTTATTCTCCTGCAACAGCGATTGTGATTTCTATTCTGTTGTGGGCACATTCGCGACTTCCGTCAGTAGATTTCACGACGGACTATTTGAGTGACAAGGTAATCGCCAATACACAATTGACTACAAGGCGAGCACGTGCACGGTCGTGGTTAACGCATGCTCGAGTACATACATATATTGTCCGTCAGGTCACGTTAGACAACCGAAGTTGCGGCTAAGGCCATTCTTTGATCTTGAACGATATCGTCGCGACTCGTGAAGGACGATCACCACTGGTTCGGCTTTTTAAATATAGCGGTCTCTAGGACTATTAGGTGTTTATTTTCGATAGTAAATGAAGAGATAGTAAATGAAGAGAAACAATCGTTTCGTCGATCGGAGAAAAATATAAAATTACGGTCTCACATAGTTTTAGTATTAAATTTAAATGTCATACAAAATATCTAATATTGAATATTAAAAATATGGTGGGAGGAAGTAAAGTATTGGGTTGTTTGGAAAGTAATTTTGGTTTTTTTAAATACATGGTGTTAGTTGCTTTTTCAGCAGTTAACCTCATTATAAACCAGAAAATCATTTTATATTTTTACAACGTACATTTCAAGCTTTATTTGAAAGAAAGTTATTTTGGAATCTGTCAATCTTATTTTTGTTTGGCGTCGCGTAAAAAATGGAAAACTAACATAACCAACGTATTTTCGTCACATTTTGCTTTTTTATTACCGTAAAAACAAAAATGCAGCGCAAGCAAGAAAAAAATTATGTGCCGTGTATGGAGAGGATGTGTTGACCGAACGCCAGTGCAGAATTGGTTTTCGAAATTTCGTTCTGGGAATTTCGATCTCAAACATGCACTACGTTCTGGAAGATCAGTTAAGGCTGATGAAGACCAACTAAGGCATTGTTAGATGCAAATAGTCATTTAACAACACAAGAAATTGCTGAGAGATTGAATTTATCGAATTCGATTGTGCATGAGCATTTGGAACAACTTGATTTCGTTTCAAAGCTCGATATTTAGGTTCCATACGTCAAAGAAAGAGATTTGATTCGTCGCTTTACCATTTGCAATTTGCTGTTGAAACATGAGGAAAAAAATCCATTTCTGAAGCGACTCATAACTGAGATGAGAAATGGGTTGTGTACAATATTAAATGCCAAAGATCATGGAGCAGACGTGATGAATCAGCTCAAAGCACATCGAAAGCTGATATCCATTAAAAGAAGGTGATCTATTTGGTAGGGTTGGAAAGGAATGGTTTTGTCTCGATGTTTACGCTTCGGTATCGTGATTTTTCGGGAAATCACTTCAATTTTCGAGGTTTCGATCTTTTGGGATGGCGCATGCCGTCACCTAACAATTTCATGGCATCCTGCGCACTCTGTTGAACTTAAGTTGTTGCTACTAAACAATTTCCATTTTTTTCCAGGTTATAATCGAGGAAGCATTCAAAGATCAAATTAGCATCTCCGACCTGTTCAAGGTGAAGGCTAACCGCAAAGCCTTGATCTACACTTGCGCCTTGGTCTCTTTTCAACAGTTGACCGGGATCAATTTTGTGCTGTTCTATATGGAGAAAATATTCATCGCTGCCGCAAGCTCCGACGAACCAACGAAAGAAGCGCCGATTATTATCGGCGCGGTGCAGATGTTGGCGTCGGCGGTGACGCCTGTTGTTGTCGACAGGTTGGGCAGAAGGATGCTTCTCGTCCTGTCCGGCATCGGAACAGCAATCAGCCTGGTAAACAATTTTTCATTTCTTCAGATAGTTAATCCTAAATCAATTTGCTTTCGCTGGACGCGAATTCGAAGGCGCATGTCCTCAATTCGCCGAGACAAGAACTTTAGAAGTAGAATTCGTATGATAGGACTAATTTCGAAATTTATAATTTAATTTGTAATTTTTATTTCAAATATTTACAATAACACAACTAAATATCCTGAAAAAAACCCAGGATTATTTTGAAGGCAACTTGTGCTGTCTAGATTATGATCTGACGCTGATATTTCAATTCAGCGAGTAACTTGTCTTAACATTCTCTGTAGCAGATGATGGAATTATCGCTCACTTCTACTTTGCTCTCGCCGATCATACACGTCGGATTATTAAATGCATTCCACAGCCGCGAGCTCACAGCCGGGGCGCGTTTAATTACGCTCCTTGTACAACTTAATCATATGATAATTATCATTTTTATCGCGTATCTCGCTATCGAGGACGGAACGTGTGATTAGCCGACGTTCACGCAGCTCGGATCAGTTAGGCGGACTTCGTCCGCGTTGAAACTTCGTCGAGTCGAACGAACGCCATTGAACTCGAGGACTCGCCGCTCTCGGAAGTATCCGACGTAGAAAACGCAACAAGTGCACCGTCGGATGCACGTTGCTCGCGAGATGAAGAAAAAGGTCGAGCACCGTGTGCACATGCCGATATGCATACCGATGGAATGCGCCGATTGTCAGTGCACCGTGGGCTTCAACCGCACGATTGCATATTCATGATTACGTAAATCGGTTTCGAATTTGTAACGAGCAGCGGAGATGCCCGCGAGGACGCGGCGTCGACTGATGAATCCTTCCGTTTCTCGTGACTCTGGCATCACGAGGTTAGCATGAGGGGAAGTAGCAAATAAAATTGTCCCACATGGCATACTTTATCTCAAGGACGTCCGATGGGCATCATTTTGGAATATTGCAATACCTTGGGGATATACAAATGTCCGCTGTTTTAGATCCTACAGATATTCCACGGATATCCCTTTCAGTAACTTTTAGTTCCTTTTCAGAAACTTTTAGTTTCTAAAAATGGTTACTAAAGGAAATATCCGTAGGATATCCGTAGGATATCTGTAGGATTTAAAACAATAGACATTTGTATATCTCCAGGATATTGTTGTAGAATATCCTTGAGATAGTGTATGTTATGTGGGGTTGATACCGAATTTCAATTGCGGCAACTGAAACTCTGCGTTCCTCAGGAATCAACTGAGAATTCGGTTGAAAAGAAAAATTTCGTCAGGAGGTTTCTGTTGTCCCAGAAATATATTTAGTCATCTGAATCGAACATTAATGTTGTCGAGGATACAAGTTTCGTTCTTCGGATAAACAGAAAGCTATGTCTCGTATATATATACAGGGTGTATATATATATATATATATATATATATATATACCGAGTGTTTCAGACCACCCGGGTCACCCTATTTTTTCGTAAACGCGACATTTTAGAGAAAAATGTTTCAGACAAAAATTGTAGGGTTTCAAAAAATCTATTTATCGATATTATCAATTTGACCTTGGAATGACCTTGAAAAACCCAGTCAAGATCAACATAAAAATTTTAAACGGAAACTTCAATTTTTTATTACACCATCTTTTTCCACCAATTAACTTGAACAACTTTTGTCTGAAACATTTTTTTATTTGCCTAATATTTTTTGAGATATTTAAGGAAAACTTGGTAACTTTTCCAACATTTACCTTACGATATCTCGCTAACTATTCATCGAAAGAAAAAATAGTATTAGACTTTTTTACTTTATTTACTATCAAGAATATACTACTATAATAGTGCCCTAATTTTTATTAATTTAATAATTTTGAAATTTCCAAAAGTCGATAAGACACCCTGTATATATATATATATATATATATATATATATAAAGCAACTATGAAATTAGTTATTAGTTATAGTATATATATATACAGTTATAATTAGAAAGTATAATTAGAAATTAGTTTTAAAAAAATGTAACTAAGTTATGTTACGGTTACAGAAGTAGATAAGAGACGAAATTAAGTTACAGTTACAGAAAAAAAGTAACTGTAACTGTAACTCCGTTACAAATAAGTTACTTCTCATGCTTGTTAAAATACCACACGAAAATTTCAATGCAGCGTTGATATCAATAATAAAAAACCTAATTCTCATTAAATCAAACTTATCTGAGCAATCGTCATCGATATTGATACCATCATCGTCTTGTAAACATTGCTGATCTGAGTCTTTTGATAAAATTTTATCTCGTCTGTTTTGTAGTGTGTTCTGGGTCTGTACTTCTACCTGAAGCAGGTGCAGCACGCGGACGATGTAGTGGCGCAGATATCCTGGTTACCGGTGGTCGCGCTTGTCATCTTCATCTCCACTTACAGTGTGGGCTGGGGTCCACTTCCATGGGCCGTGATGGGAGAGTTGTTCGCTTCTAACGTCAAGGCTAAGGCTTCCAGCATGACTGTGTCTGTTTGCTGGTTCTTGGGCTTTATCATCACCAAATTCCCCAGCAACATCAACCGGGCGTTCGGCGCCTACACGACCTTCTGGATATTTAGCGCGTGTTGTATCATGAGCATCCTCTTTACGGTGTTTATCTTGCCGGAGACAAAAGGCAAAAGTCTTCGCGAGATCCAGGACGAGCTCAACGGCGTGGTTCCAACCATCCAAGACTCCGAGAGAGGTTCAAAGAAGTGAGAAAATGACATTTTCGTAATCTGTCATCATAATGAACTCTGTACGCAAATAGTTCCTGACGAATTTGCGAAGCGGACCGAGCGGAGACCTGAAATAGTCGGCGATAGGCCTCATGTGAATTTTCGTGTCTAACATCCTACTGCCAAATTTACTGTGAGAAGCGGAATGATCAACTTTCAGCCTGTGCGATATCACTGCATTATGAACGAATCGCTACATGGAAGAAACGTTTCTTCGCATCACTGATTTTCCATCATTTAGGGAACCAATTGTGTACAAGAACAAGTTGGTGAAGACAGAAGGATTCCCGGAGAAGATTTCTATGCAGTCAATTTTCTTCTCAATTGTCTCAATCGAATTTCGATACGACCAAACCATAGGCGGCGCTAGAACTATTCATGCGAATGGGCCACAGGTGGGCCAGCGTTTATGTGGGTGGACCATATTTATTATATATTATGTATCATTTTATCATTCATTTTAATATTTCTAACCGTTGCGCTTTGTCTCTGGGAGGAATTAACTATGAAGATAGAATTTAGGGTGGGCTAAAGGGTGAGCCAGCGTATTTTTAGGTGGGCCGGAGCCCACCCAGGCTCACCCTTGGCGCCGCCGCTAGACCAAACTTTTGGACGATTATTCCCGCTCGCAATAACAAAGACGTTGTTTTTCATCAACGACTTCTCGTCTAGTTCTTGCTCTGTTACATGAGTCGAGAGAATATTTCTTCCGTGTAAGATAAACGAGCGAGGCTCCTCGCGATATGCACCATCGTGAGAGCGTACATTTCCGTCATTATCAGCTAAATGATTCACGAAAATCACGCCATAACATATTTATAAGTACACTCATGTTATCGTATGCAGTCGGGCATGAGTTTCATTGTGCCCATAGGAGCATCTGTCTCTCGCCTCAATTTTGCATTGAGCGCGCAGGACTTGCGAGAAACTAATGACGGTGTTCCCGTACGATTTTTTGTTTCGCCCGTGATGGCAATATATCGCGATCACTATCATAATTACCCCTTTTGTCAATATATAGGTACCCGAGTATCCATTGCAATATATATCAAAAAAGTTTCATATTACTGTGCGAATTTCATTATATAACTACGTTCCAGACTCCCACTCCTTGGTGTAACGAAGTACAGTTTTCAATAGAGCTTATCTTGAGATACCGAGTTTTATTTTTTTAGTAAAGTCGCAGTGAAATTGAATATTACGATATTTAACGTATGAGTACTTTGGTATCCACTAGTGATTTTTTGCTACGAATACTGTACATCATGTTTGACTTTTTTTTCTAATGAATAATTAATAATAATTTCTATAAGATAAACAAATATTTGTTTACTATGAAAAAAAACATTATTCAAAGGACCCCGCACAATTCCTTATGTAAATTGAATTTCAGTGGAATTGGCTGAATATTTGATATGTTGTAGATCTTGTCTCTCTGATAAAAAGTTCCCATAGGCACAAACCCCAATAATTATTAGCTGCTGGATCTTACATGTGATTAAAAAATGAATTTTTAATGAACTATAAATATTCTGAATTGTTACGCTTTAAAATATAGTTTAATTAAAAAAGTTGTGCTTTATGTTCTCAACAGAAAGCGAAATATAATCGAATGGTACACTTAATTGTCAATGTATTATACATTGAAACACGTGCTTCATATAGAAAACGAAAGTATCACTGAAATCTCTGAAATCAAGTCATCATTTTCAAGTCAATATTACCTTTATAGCTTTTTATTTTTATTTTATACACAGAAAAAAAGTTTTTAGATGTAAATCAAAGTAGGAATACATCTTACTCATTGAAAATAAGAAATTGTGATATTAGACACTTTTGACATTTGACGCCTTGTAGAAGTCAAATGGTCAATTATTAAGGATTGTGCCTATGGGAACTTTTCATCAGAGAGATAAGATCTACAACATATCAAATATTCAGCCAATTCCACCGAAATCCAATTTATATAAGGAATTGTGCGGGGTCCTTTATATATTTTCGACAATATTGTCGCATGTCATTCACTGCATGTTTAAGGAACAATATTTAAAACCTTATAGCTATAAAGTCGCAGCGTAACGTACCGAAAGCACGCAAAATACTGGGGTACCCGGGTACTCATATAATGATGAAAGGATTAAAAATTATATACTGACAGAAGGATTAGTGATAATCGTAATTAATAAGTCTATATCATCGCTTTCATTCTTATGATGTCATGCTCTCTGGCTGTAAACGAAGAGACCCGAGTTGCTCTCGCGACAAATTCCTCGTTTGCGCCCGGCAGACTACTAGAGACTAGTCACTTTTCTTTCCTATTTCTAACGTTTTTCGTCTTATGGACAGCGTGATTATCAATGATCGTGCGAGTAACTGTATTATGTAACGGGATATTTACGATCAGCCAGTGACACATCACATACATATCATCGAGGTTCTTATCATTGTACTGCTAATAAATTGTTGAATATATGTAGTGTGTAGATTTTTAGAGATCTTCGTCGCTGCCGTTGATCGCCGACAACAACCAAGTCGCTGTCGATATATTGAATCGCATACTCGTATAAGAAGACATATAATACGTAATTACCGATTACTAACCGATATCGTGCGTTCATAATGCGAATTATTGCGATGAGTACGAAACCATATTTAAACACGGTATTATTATACTGCGCTTGCGTTCCTTTCCTTTTTTGAATTATCCTATTTAAATAGTATTTCAATAATATATTTATCTTTAAGTATACGCGCTTTAAGTATAGTGTGCACAGCTTCCTCTTTGCTTAGACATAATTAATGTACAATTATATTTTTTGTCTAATAATTATTGAATATTCCGGCGCACAACGACAACGAGTAACATTTACCGAAAAATTGTACTGTTTTTTTGTGCACATTATACTTTAGAAATATTATCATGTAGGATATATTTATTAATATTTTGACATACACGACAAATAAGCGCTGAACACACAAGTCCGTCAAGTAAAAAAAAAATATATATATATTTCTTAAAATAAAAATATGTTTTTATAAACACTTTACAATATGAGCGAAAACGTTAACTAAAGAGAAGTTGGGACAATTTTTTATGACTCATATATGTACAAGAAGTGTTACAAAAAGCAATAATAAGAAATGAGGATTCCAACTCAATAATTCTTGCTTGCGCATGGAAACTTTAAACAAATGTTAAACCGACGTCGAAAACGACAAACGACATCATGCGATGACGTGTCATATTGTTCGAATCAAATGTTTACCATTTTGTAAATATTGTATTTTAATACACGCACATCCATATTAAAAGAAGCTCATAATTCTGTATATAACTGTTGAAATAATATAAGATAAAATTATATTTTAAGTGAATCTGTATTGTGCTTTGTCTATTGCACCTTTTTAATCCTATATACACGTATTTGTAGTAAACATGTGCATATCGTAAACTTGCTTTACAAGCAGCTTCCCAATTATCATTATCCTATCAATTATCTTGGTGACGATAGTTTAAAGATATAATATTTTCTTTCCTTCAAAAAAACCACGACTTTTTCTTCTTGTACAATATTAGTTAATCATACTATAGATATTTTTCGCAAAAGTTATTTAAAATCTGTATTTTGTCATATTTGCAGTTTTATATTCATATACATATATTAAACACCGTAAAATTAATTGCTTGTGCGAATTCAATATTATAATTATTGGCGATATTCTCTATGCAAATAAACATTTATATTGCATATATCACATTTTCTACTGACAAGGAAGGTTAGGCATCCCGGAAATTCAGAAAATTCTGAACTTTTGCTTATGCCATATTACAGTTTGAGACAATGAAATCACTCTTCGAAAAAAAATGTAATTTCTTTTCTGCGGAGTAACTGTATTGAGAGATATAATGAAAGATATCGAAAAAAAGTTTAAATAAAAGTTGTCTCTTTTTTATGTTTACAAAGCTGTGTATAGATAAGTATCGAAACATTCATGTTTTTCTACTTACCCCCACCACCGACTCTTAAAATTGAGTTTTTGTACTCTGTAAATTTATACGAAAATATTTCTTCATAATCTCTTTTCATATATTATAATCAATTTATGTGTTCTACTAAAAAAAGAAAAATACACTGAATTTTTGAAGTCCATTTTAGTAGTTTTAATTATTAAAATAATCTTATAAAGCAATATGTAAATTGTTATTAATATAAATTTTACACAAATTTCAATTATTTAAGTAAATCAGTATGTGCTTACGACTGTAGTTGGGTAAGTCAAATTTTTTTTTAACCAAGTTAATTTTAAAGTTAACGACTCATAACCCAAATAATACAATGACATCCTAAGGATATCCAGAATAGATATCCTGTAGATGTCTAAATTTTATCCCGGAATATACTCTGGACATTCTGAAGATATTCTGTCGGACATCGTAAGGACTTTTATGGGATATTTCTACGGATATTTCTTAAGCGTTCAAAAGTTAAAACATTTTTTTCTACTTCAAATTTCGACATGCCTTCTTTCCACCTTTCTAAAACTCCACAGCTTTTCTTTTATGATTAAAATCGGCCTTCCTATCTTCATTATCAACAATGCATTTTTCACAAGTTCAAAACTGTCTTTATCTTTTTCTTTTTCTACAATCGCAATATATTCTACAATTTGTGCTCCATGTAATGGATTGACAAAATTAAGAACGTAATCATCTTTATACAGGATGTCTGAGATCTTTTAGAAATGAAAAATTGTAAAGATTAATCAGATCCAACTGAGAAGAAAAAGAAAGTATCATTTTACAAAAATCGCAATAGTTATTAATGATTGAAAATGTCCATTTTAGTACTTTAATAGAGGCTCTTTTAATTAATAATTTGAAAATTTGCATACTTATTTGTAAAATAGTAAAGGACTTTTTGGTTCAGAATGACCCAATCTAAAATTATATTATGGCTATTATGTCTAGCAATAAATATGAGTATTTTGAACTTTGAACTGATCCCTAAATCTTGCACCTTGAACTAATTAATTTTTCATACAGTTGTAAGTATATATCGACTTGCTTAAATAATTGAATGTTGTCTAAAATTTATATAAATAATAATTTAAATATATAAACAATAATTTAAATATTTAAAAATTTAAATATCTTTGTGAAGCTGTTTTAATAATTAAAACTATTAAATTGGAATTAAAAAATTCGATTTTTTGTTTTAATAGAACATATAAATTGATTATGATGTATAAAAAGAGGTTATAGAGAAGTATTTTTGCATGAATTTATAAAGTACAGAAACTCAATTTTAAGAGTTGCTGGTGGAGATAACTCGAAAAACATGAATTTTTCGATACTTATCTATACGCAGTTTTGTAAACATAAAAAGGAAATGCAACAAATGCAATTTAAAATTTTTTAAAATATTTTTCATCGTTCGGCAGTTACTTCGCAAAAAAATTACATTTTTTTCAAGAAATGATTTCAAATCGTAACATGGCACGAACAAAAAGTAGTTTTGTGTTACAGATAAACTACTCTACTTGCACTCAATGCTTCACAATTTCCTAAATTTTCGAGTTAACTAAAGTACCTTGATAGTAGACCAGTATTAAAATCCAGCTGATATTTCCACCCTGATTAAAATTAACGTTTATATAAACATAATATTCTGGAGATATGATATGTTAGAAGAAATAAAATAAACTTAAAGTTACAAGACATTGTTGCTCTTATATGCCATCTTCACAATTTTATAAGGAAAAAACACATAGTATACATGGCAAATACATATCTTATATTCGTGTTATCAAATCATTAAATGCCTTATCAATTTATTGGTAACAACAATTTTAAATTCTGCAACCATATGTCACCAGTCCTTCCCCCAGACATAAATGTTTATAATTCATCCTACCTCCAAATATTATTTAGTTTGTCAACAATCCTCATGGTGCGCGCAAATACCTCGAAATATTTCTTCAGTGTTTTCAAAATAATCGACAGATATACATCCGAGTGTGTTTCGAGTGAAATTTATTATTTTCGCTACGGTTCTTAAATCCATACATTACCTCTGAATTAATATCACAAATAACGTATTCGGAATAGTACAATGCATTATTCAAACATTACAGTGCAGTCGTTTAACATGCCAGTAGTTCATGATTCAGTAACAGATAATCGTCATAATAAATTCTTCAATCCAAACATTTGCTATGTTTGCAAGGTGACATTAGTTGGCGATTTCGTAACATGTCAGTGCTGTCATATGATTATGTACTGCAGCTATGAACATAGACGGTTACATTGGCCGCAACATATGCAATTGTGCACAGTTTTAGAAAATTTATTCAAAATGGATGTAGGATGGGGCAATCATTGATTAAGTAAGGAGAAATGGGTTCAGCCCAGGAAGGAATTGATACGTACAATTCAAGGGAAATTATCACGTGAACTAGAATCGCACGAAGTGGAGATAATCATGTACGCAAAGTCATGTTGTATTTGTCATCAACAGGCTGCAACCTGCAAAGACTGCAACCGTGTACGTTGTGTTATTCTGTCAACTATTGCGAAGATCATGCAGAAATGTTTCAAAGCGTCCACAGTTCTGTTTGCGGCTCACATTTGTTGTGTCTCATTCTAGATATCGCATTGACGAATTACATTTCATATATAATAAAATTCACTATGTTTCCCGATAAGGATGCATCCGTTTCTGAAATGAGTGAGTTTGTTCAAAGATATTTAGGATCAGAATCTGATCAGGGACTAATCAATGATTCGTTTCTTTATAATTGTGTATTTTCTGAATACGCATCAGCTCCGCTGATGTTGTACCATGGATTGCGGGATACAAAATTATTAGATACTTTAGACAGAAAAAAGCTTTACTACGTTATTCATATAATAGGCGCGGACTCCTACGATAGAGAATGTATCCGAGCTTGGGAACTTCTTCTGCATCTTTTAGATCATATAAAGCACTTAATAATTGTAATAACAGATATAAATTTTGGACGTTTTAACATCGACCTTTGTAGCCACTGCATAGAACGCAACCGAAAGATTAGCATTGTATCTTGTTTAATACCATACAGCAATTATGTGAGCAGTAATATGTATAAGCAACCAAATGTGATTATAGGATTTCAAATAGATCTTAATGATAGGACTACATGGCCCGAAACAATTTTAAAATTACGTCAGCAGAATTGTCCCTTGTTTCTAACCTCCTCATCCGAACTTATAGCAGTACAAAACATAAGTAAATTGTATGAAATTTTAAATACACCTTTAGCTCTTATGTACTTTAGCGGAAATAAATTTCATTCGTTAGCGCCACGTAGAAACTTCGAAAGTAATGATTTGTTTTATCGTAATAAACATTTGATTATCTTCCTAAATTTGTATGATTTGTTCGAACACATTCAAATCATTTGAAGCTATTACAGACAATTGTAATATCATTTTTTTATCTTATTATCTTTGCAAATAATATAAAAGATTGCGTATAGTTCGTAGAATAGTGTGTTTACGCACATTATATATATATATATATATATATAAAA